GTTCTTGCACTGTTAAAACAGATGTAAAGCCTCTTCTTACTTACCAAAGCAAGGCTTTCTAGCTATGAATCAATTATGAATATAATAGAGAAGGCATAGGAGTGAGATAGAGTCAGCCTTAATACAAAGCAAGCAATAGCAAAAAGAAAGATGTACTATTAACAAACCCGAAGGCTCCTAAATAACCATTCTATTAATTAAAAGCACCTCAAAAAGCCTTAAAACAATAAAAATTAAGGCTGAGACTCCGGAGCATCATCTGGACCTAAAATCTAGTTTAACTCTAATATAACCCTTAATTTGATTATAAATAAACTTTAAAGAATTTTTAACCCGAACATTTTTCACTATGGCTAGGGTACTAATGAAGTCAAGTTGATCCAGACTTGGGACTGAGTCCTAAGTCATATGCAATATTACTGTATTAGGTCTTATGCAACAACAGTGCATATATATATTATGCATTATTATGCCGTTATAAACAATTATAGTATATATGTCATATATAATGAAATTATTATAGATTTAGAATCCACTTAGGTTAGAACAGAATTCCAAATGTAGTTCAAGTTAATACGAAATTTGAAAGAAACTTGAATTGATTCTAAATTTGATACTGTATAAGTAATAGATATTCTACGGGCTGCTGTGAATATCATCATTAACATGGTGAAGCCGTAGTAATATATGATGTCACAACACACCATTGAATATCTGATATATTTCACAGTTCTTATGCCCATAACATTTCTGATTAAAATTTTAATGACGATGTTATTCCTGTGAAATAAGTTATAGATATTTTCACAGCATTACGTTATCATAAAAATATCATCAGAAAACATTAGGAGCCGTAGAATATTTGATTAAATTAACTTCAATACTGTAATAAATGTGTAATCAATTGACGTATCAATAGTTAAAAAATTACATAATGTTATGATAAATTGTCAGAATAAAATATAAATCTTTATTATTTATTTTCTTTATTTTACTTTTTCGTTCTTTACAATTTTCTCTACTCGATAGTCAAATCTTAAGGTTATTATTTTTACCTTGTAATGCATTTAAAGATTTGCTTTCCACATATCTTAGTAACAAGTCAGCTAATAGGTGACTTAAACCCTTTATAACATGTGAAAACTTTAATTTTTGTATTAAGGTTTTATAAGATCCAGCAAATATAATAATTGAAAATGCAAAAGATCTTTATTGGATAAAAATGCATTTGCAATACATGATTTCGAAATGCAGCTTATTAAATTTAACTAAGACATACTTGTGTATATTGGATCATGACAAGTTTTCAGAGGTAGAGATTATTTCTTCAATGCTAATAAGCTTTTGAGAAGTGTTTATTATACAATCCTCATCACAAATAGGTAATATTAAATGCAATTGCAAAATGTGTGTGACAAAAATAGTTGTAAATGTTAAAAACTAAATGAACTCTGTGAGAATAGTTGTCATCCTACTAATTAAGGAGTATATAGTAAATATGTAGTGTATGGTTCATAAAGTATGTATATATAGAAACATCAATTAGTAATTAAATTGATGTAATGTACGATTAATAAAACATATATGTATGTATGATGCATAATATTTATTATTATGAGTGCTGTGGACTTTATAATTTAATTTAGGGAATCTTATATAATAAATTATAAGTTTAAAATCCCGAAGCATAGTTTCTCTTAAAGACTAAAATGTAGTTTTCTCTTTGTGATACTGATATTTATGATTAATTAGTGATGCATATATATATTCTATATATATATATGTCAACAATTATTTTTTCTTTTCTGCATTTTTCAAAATAAAGTCTTGTCTAATGAAATTAGATTTGGATTCAACTATCAAAGAAAATTATAATTTAAAAACTGGTATTACAGAGGAGTTTTCTGACTTTGATATTGATGAATATAATAAATCATGGTTTTACGAAGATTCAGATCTGAATACTGTAATATTTTTAAATTCATAAAAGTGAATTGAATGTTTGAAATACACTTTAATATTAACTTATTTTTTAGAGCAATATAAATGAAAGTCAAGATTTACAAGAAGTAGCATTTTTTACAAAAAAACTGTACGCAAATCAAATTATTCATAGTGCGTTACCTGTAGAATATCCTTCAACATCAGAAGATGGGGGTCGCAACGATCTTTAATATTAGTGGTTAAGACAATTATATGAATGCATTTAATAATGTAAAAAAATTTTAAATTATTTAATTTATAAGCTTATAATATATAATAATTTTAAATTATAAT